CATGATTTTATATGAGAAAAAAAACCTAAATAATCCACCAAAAAACTACTTGAAATAATAAACAAATACTGTAAATTCGCCAGGTATAAAATCAATATAGAAAAATCAGTCACCTTTCCATATGCTAACAATGAAGTATCAGAAAGAGAAATTAAGAATACAATCCCATTTTCAATTGTAATGAAAAGAATAAAATACCTAGGAATAAGTTTAACCAAAGAAATGAAAGACCTATACACTGAAAACTATAAAACACTGTTGAAAGAAATTGAAGACGACACGAAGAAATAGAAAGATATTCTATGCTCATGGATTGGATGAATTAACATTGTTAAAATGTCCATAATTCCTAAAGCAATCTACAGATTCAGTGCAATCCTGTCAAAGTCCCAATGACATTTTTCATGGGAATAGATCAAAGAATCCTAAAATTTATACAGAACAACAAAAGAGCCCGAACAGCCAAAGGAATTCTGAGTAAAAAGAACAAAGCTGGAGGCATCACACTCCCTGATTTCAAAATATACTACAAACCTATAGTAACCAAAACAGCATGGTACTGGCAGAAAAACAGACACACAGATCAATGGAAAAGAATTGAGATCCCAGAAATAAACCCACCCATCTACGGACAGCTAATATTTTTTTTTCTCTTCATTTATTTGCTTATTTTCAGATGTACATCATAATATATTTCGAGTTCTGTGTAGATTACATGATGTTCACCACCCGAAAACTAATTATAGTGGACAGCTAATCTTAAACAAAGTTGCCAAGAACATACAATGGAGAAAGGAAAGTCTCTTCAATATATGGTGTTGGGAAAATTGGATAGCCACATGCAAAATAATAAAAGTAGACCATTATGTTACACCATACACAAAAATTAACTCAAAGTGGATCAAAGACTTGAATGTAAGATCTGAAACCATATAACTCCTACAAGAAAACCTAGGCAATGTGCTCTTCAACATCAGTGTTAGCAGTATCTTTTTTTTATAATTTTTTTTAACGAAGCTTAGCCCTGAGCTAACATCTACCCATCCTCCTCTTTTTTCTGAGGAAGACTGGCCCTGAGTTAACATCCGTGCCCCTTTTCCTCTACTTTATATGTGGGACGCCTACCACAGCATGGCTTGCCATGGGGTGCCATGTCCACACCTGGGATCCAAACCAGTGAACCCCAGGCCACCGAAGGGGAATGTGCTCACTTAACAGCTGTGCCACCAGGCTGGCCCCAGCAGTATCTTTTTGAATACCATGTCTCACTAGGCAAGGGAAACAAAAGAAAAACAAATGAATGGGACTACTTCAAACTAAAAGTCTTCTGCACAGCAAAGGAAACCATCAACAAAATTAAAAGACAACCTAACAATTAGGAGAAGATATTTGCAAATCATATATCTGAAAAGGGGTTAATATCCAAAATACATAAGGAATTCATATAACTCAACAACAGAAAAACAAACAACCCAATTAAAAAATAGGCAAAGGATCTAAATAGGTATTTTTCCATCGAAGATATACAGATGGTCAACAGGCACATGAAAAGAAGTTTGGCATGACTAATTATTAGGGAAATGCAAATCAAAACTACAATGAGATATCTTCTTATGCCCATCAGAATGGCTATAACTAACAAAATAAGAAACAAGTGTTGGAGAGGATGCGGAGAAAAGGGAACTCTCATATACTGCTGGTGGGAGTGTAACCTGGTGCAGCCACTATGGAAAACAGTATGGAGATTCTTCAAAAAATTAATAATACAACTTCCATATGATCTGGCTATTCCACTTCTGTGCATTTATCCAAAGAACAGGAAAATATGAATGTGTAAAAATATTTCCACCCCTACATTCATTGTACTATTATTCATAATAGCCTACACTTGGAAACAACCTAAGTGCTCATCACTGGATGAATGGATAAAGAAGATGTGGTATATACACAGAATGGAATACTACTCAGCCATAAAAATGATGAAATATTGCCACTTGTGACAATGTGGATGGACCTTCAGGGTATTATGCTAAGTGAAATAAGTCAGCTGGAGAAAGTAAAATACAATGTGATTTCACTTATAAGCAAAAGATGAAAATAACAAATAGGCACATAGATACAGAGATTAGATTGGTGATTAGCAGACAGGAAGTGGGGAGGGAGGAGGGCAAAAGGGTACTAGGACACATGTTTATGGTGACAGACAGTAATTAGTCTGTGCGTGGTGAACATGATGTAGTAGTATGGGGGAAATCAAAATATAGTGATGTACACCTGAGATTTACATAATGTTATAATCTAGTATTACCTCAATTTTTTTAAAAATGAAAAAATAGAGATTACCTGCTGTATGATTAAACTTACATGAAATTCTGGAAGAAGAAAACTATAAAGAAAGCAGACCATTGGTTTTTGGGGGGCTGGAATTTGGAAAAGGGTAGTGACTGCAAAAGGGCCTAAAGGAGATTTTGGGGGGAAGATGAAGATATTCTATATTTCGATTGTGGTAGCGTTTACATGAGTGTATGCCTTTTTCAAAACTCGCTGAACTGATTCACTTAATATAGAAAATTTTATTGCATGTGAATTTTACCTCAATAAAGTTAATTTTTTTTACTAAGACCAAAAAGAAAAGAAGTTTTATTTCATCCCTGATGTATTTACCCCATTATATCTTTCTCGTAAGAGGTATCTTTAAATATATATACAGTTAAAGCCTGTATTTTTTAAATGTCCCTCCATGTGGATGCATCATTTCACTTTCCTGTTTTCCCTACCTCACCGTAGCATCATTTAAAGTAGTTCTTCAAGCGGTTAGATTTTGCTGTCTGATTATTTCACCATGTGGTAGGTAATAAATTGTTTCTCAACATAATTTTAACGTTTTTGTATCAGAGGAAGTTTGAGCATCTTTTGTATAGTCAGTGGCCATTTGCACATCTTTTCCATTTCTCTGCAGCGTTGCTGGTCTTTTTATTCTCCATTTTTAGTAGCTCTTTGTGTTAATATACCAATGCTTTGTCTGTCCTAAAAAGTTGCAATTTTTCCCCCAGGTGTTGTCTTGTGTGTCAACCATGATTTTGTGTTTCTGCCATAAAAACTTATTCATATAATCCAAATTTTCAATTTTCCCTTATTACTTCTGGATTTTAAGTTGAGTTGTAGTTAGGAGTGATTTCCTCTCCTAGATCATAAAGAAGTTTAATTTTTACATCTAAATATTTGTCCCATTGTGAATAGTTACAGGTAAGGTATGAGAAATGAATGCAACTTTATCTTTTTCCCTGCGGCTCTCTAGCTGTCGAAAACCACTTATTAAAATGCCCTTATTTCCCCCAGTCATTTTAGGAACTTCATTTATTGTATACTCTATTTCCATGTGCAATTGTCTGTTTCTATGTTTTCTATTTTGTTTCTTTCAGTTCTCTGTACATTCCTTCATCAATATCAAATTGTTTTATTTGTAATGCCTTTATAGTATGTTTTAATGCCTTCTAGAACTAACCTTGTCCTATTGCCTTACTTTTTAAAATGTTTTCCTGGTTCTTCTCATATGTTTGCACCTCGTTTTTCCAAAATAATTTCATAATCAGTTTATCTAGATCAAAGAGGACTGGTATTATTTGCATCAGGATTGCATTAAATTTATAAATTAACTTAAGGATAACTGATATCTTTATGATTTTCATCTTCTTATTCAAGATCATGGCATATTTTTCCATTTGTTCAAGTCTATATTTGTCTTACATGAGGCTTTATACTTTTCATTGCATAAATTTTGGACACTTTTTTTAAGTACATGGATACTTCTGGTCTTTTTTGCTTCTGTATTTTATTTGTACATATAAAGGCTATTGACTTCTACATGGTAATTTTATAAATGGCTACTTTGCTAATTATTTGTAGTAGTTTTACCATTAAACCTTTTGGGTAGTATGTATTTGAGTTGTAAATCTCTTGGGTTATAAAGTAAAATTATCTGCAAATATATATGGTTCTACTTTCCACTTTCCAATTTTTATGCTTTTAATATCACTCTCTTGGATCAATACCTCCCACATAATGTAAAATGGTAGGTAGTCTCAAAAAGGTTTTGTATTTTGTTCTGAGAATCATACCAGCAAAAAAGGCTTCTCAGTAATATGGCATCTTCTTTTGGTAAAGGTCATGGTTTTAAGAAGATGTACAAATATTTTCAGTGAAAAAAGACATCATTTGGGTCTGCAGACATAGATCCCTTCTTTAGCTTTTCTGGTTGACACTTAAAATCAGAAAATAGAGGCAAGCCAAATGATATCCAGGGAAAGTGAAATGTTCAAGGGAATGACGCAAGGAAGACAAGACCAGACTAGTACAGAGAACAGAAGATGGGGAAAGGATAATGGTAGTTTACACACCCCAGAGGAAGAATAAGATGTAAATTATTCAGAGGAAGAATAAGATGTAATTAACCTGAACTCTTCAGAACACCATATAGTAGAGACAAAGTGGAAAGGCTGCATTTCTCCCACAGAAAGGTAAACATAACAACTTTTATTAAGTACCTGCTAATTGTCAGATGCAATCGAAGGTTTACAGGTATATTATCTCATTTAATACTCACTATAAGGCATCGAGTATGTTTTATATTTCTCATTACAAATGAGGAAATTGAGATGCAGAATGAGAATCTGGTCATGTACTCAAGATAACGTAGTAAAATCTTGCGCTGTGATGTGAACTCAGGCCTCCAAATCTGACACCCAATGCTCTTTACATTACACCAACTGCATGTAGCATAGTTTCATCAAATTATTTATTTTTACTTTATAAGGACAAGCTAAGCACAAAATAAACATTTCAAAATTTTGTGTTAACAGAGAAATATTTTAGTATTCATCTAAATTTTATTCGTTGTTATTCTGATTTTTGCAGTTATTAGAGATTTGGTGATCAAAACAACCTTTATATATTTACAATTTAGAAACCAGATATTTATTTAAATTTCATTTCTGTTTTATTCCCCACTCTATAATGATTTCAGTGAATATCGTAAAATTGAAATTCTCAACAATTTATTGGCTCTATTTACTCTATGAGTTTTTCTCAAACAGGGAAATGCAAGCCTAATCCTCAATTATTAGTTGGAGGAACTGAGAGATAACATTTGCAGCCCACAAGTGAAATAATAGATCTTATTCATCGTATCTTTTCTGTATCCAAGATAAAGGTTATTCCTTACATCTTCTCCATCCTACCACATCCATGCCATGCACTTAAACCACTTAAGAACATTCATAACATTTGTGATCTATCTTTCACTCTGGCTTAACCAACCTGAATGTTTTAATAACTCCTGCTGCAATTTGGACATTTGTTTATTCCCCAAGCAACAACTGGTCTTTTTCATGCCATGTAGTTCCCTGAATCAATTTATATCGGTACAGATGTTATAAATACAAAGGTGTCAAGGATTGTGAGCCTCCTTAACCCAGAAATTAGGCATGGGATTGAATTGACATCACTCTGAAGCAGTTGTCGCTGCTTTCGGAGATTGGTTGAATATTGAAATATTAGTGTGTGTGGAAATAATTCTAAAATTATCTAGTTCAACCCACTAACATTATAGATGAAGAGTCAGAGGCACCAGCTGATTCAGTAACTTATCCAATCTGACACATCTAGGACAAGATTTGAGCCTACATTTTCTGAATCCCAGGTCACTGCTATTTCTCCTACACAAGTTTAAGTGAGAGCTGTACTGGAGACATCCATTTTAACATCAGGTACGTGGGTGCATAAACAAACATAAAAGTTTCTGGAATGGGTTAAGTCAGAAGAATAGTGTGAAGTTAAAGAAAGGTACCAAACTCAGGACAAAAAGCCGAAGCATATGGGTAGTTGCATGTGTAAATTTGGTTTGATGTTGGAACAATTTATTTGGAATGTGTGCTTATAACAGAGTTTTGAGAAAGAAAAGAAAAGGAAAGAAAAAAAGAAGAGAAAAGCTTGGTTTAGTGGCAAGATGAAAGGGATTTTTTTGTGAGTTTTAGGTACATGTTTCAATTAGCTTTCGGTGCACTTTGTAATGTCTTCTCAGACCTCAGTGAGAACTACTTTTCCTAGGCAGTCTAGTTTTAACTTTTGAGGCATGTTATATTACATGACTTCACCATTACTACCTCTTTCTCTACATAGAAAGTTAGAGAACTTTCTATTTCCTATTTGTCCAAGTGAATTCTGAACAGGAAGGGTTTCTGCTTCAAACGGCTTTGGTGAAAATCTATAAAATCCAGCAGTTAAAAAATATCTGACTTCAGGCAGCATAGTATGTAAGAGAGTCTTTTTATTTAAAATATACTTGGAAATGTATGAAACCGTCAGGCTCTAACAACATCATGTTCATCAGCTTTTGAAAAATGTATCGTCATGGTGGGGTAGAAACAGGGTCACTCATGTCTGCGTGATTGAAATGATGAACTGAGAAAGAGAGGATATTTCATTGTTATTCTGGACAATCTCCATTAGAAAATTGAAATGGCCTGTGTTTCTCTGCAGCCATTTTCCCTCCCCTCATGTTCTATTCCTTTTCCAACCCACTGTAAGAGACCAGTGTCCACATTCCTTTCCACTATTGTGTTCCCACTAATAATCAATCATGGTTCTCAAACATTGCTTACTCCAGTCTTTAACTGTCATCATGCCTTTAAAAAGGTTACCATTCTCTTCCCCTTCAAAACTTGTTGGCAGCTAGCTATGAAATTTTTAAAGTATTTCACAAACTGAGGCGTAAATATTCAAATAGTTTAATTTTTATTTCTTTTTATGAAGGTTTGCATCTTACTTGTAAGCAAATTGCTAAGGCATAAGAATTAATCTTGAATTTAATCAATTAAGATATCTGGAAAGGCCATGGGGGAGATATTTGACCACGGTGAGCAGGGGAGTGATACAACAGGGAACTATCTGGTGGAGATCTGCCACTAAATTATTTCATGCCAAAAAAAATCTCACTTTGAGTTTGATTACTGTTTTTTTTTTTTTTCCTAGTTCGCCTCCCATGTGGAAATGTCAGAGTCCTTCCAGCAATCAGAGTGAATGGCCTGGAATAACCAGTCAGTGGTGACTGAATTCATACTGCAGGGTCTCTCCAGTTCTTGGGAACTCCAGAGCTTCTATTTCCTGTTTTTCTCCATAGTCTATGCAGCCACTGTACTGGGGAACCTCCTAATCATGCTCACCATTGTGTCAGAGCCACACCTTCACTCCCCCATGTACTTTCTGCTGGGCAATCTCTCCTTCATTGACATGTCTCTGGCCTCCTTCACCACACCCAAAATGATTGCAGATTTCCTCACTGAGCGCAAAGCCATCTCTTTTGAAGGATGCATCACCCAGATATTCTTCCTGCATCTCTTAGGGGGTGCTGAGATTGTACTGCTGATATCCATGTCTTTTGATAGGTACATGGCTATATGTAAGCCTCTACATTACTTAACCTTCATGAGCCAGAGAATGTGTTTTGGGCTTGTCACACTTTCCTGGATTGTTGGCATCTTCCATGCTATGAGTCAGTTAGCATTTACTGTGAATCTGCCCTTCTGTGGACCCAATGAAGTGGACAGCTTCTTTTGTGACCTCCCCTTGGTGATTAAGCTTGCATGCATAGACACATACATTCTGGGAGTATTCATGATCTCAACAAGTGGCATGATTGCCCTGGTGTGCTTCATCCTCTTGGTGATTTCCTACACTGTCATCCTGGTCACTGTTCGGCAACATTCCTCTGGTGGGTCCTCCAAAGCCCTCTCCACTTGCAGTGCCCACTTCACTGTTGTGACCCTTTTCTTTGGCCCATGCATTTTCATCTATGTGTGGCCTTTCACAAATTTCCCAATAGACAAAGTGCTTTCAGTATTTTACACTATTTTGACACCCCTCTTGAATCCAGTGATCTATACCCTTAGAAATAAAGATGTCAAGGATTCCATGAGGAAACTTAGCAGCCATATCTTTAAGTCTAGAAAGACTGATCACGCCCCTTGATTTCCTCATACAAAAATGAAATACTTGTTCAGCATTTATCCCCCGACTCAGTTGGTCAGCATATTGATGCTATTGCAAGAAATAAATCAGTTCATGGGAGAACTATTTCTGCAATCAGTCTCAGCAGTCACTGAGTTCTAGTCATATTAACTGTTCTTCACACAATATAACGTATACTACAGATCCTTATCAAACTTATACTCAACATTTTACTACACAAGACTCACTTTTCAGAATATTCAGTTTTTTGTCAGATATAAGCATTTAGTTGAGTATTCCTCCTGAGACATTCACATGGTTAAGAAAGAGTAGATTCCCTCCCAGTCTCTTGTAAAAGTCTCTAAGAAAAGAGGCAAACACGAAAGCGCTAACACCTAGTACAGCACCTTGTACACTGAAGTAACAATGGAATATCTTATTGCTGACAGAGGTGCTGGTGAATGAATAATTTTATTTCAAATTCAGAAGAAAAATGGAGAGCTCTTGGTAAGTAAAAATATTTGCTATTTAATGTTTTTGTAACCCATTCTTGATAAGAATAATATATCTTATTTATCTTCAGTCCTTAAATTCCCCAGAGTGGATTTCACAATTTTAAAATAATACAGTAAACTCCAGGAAAATTCTTGTAGTCTTATATATACTAAAGACTTGAAGGATCCTAGAGTATGTACAACAAATCCCATCCACACTCTCATTCTACAGAAGATGAAACTAAGACCCAGGACTCAGTGTTTTTTTTTTTTAAGATCATGCAAAGTAGAGGCTGAATCTAGGTCATTCACCTACAAATGTGGATATTTGTTTGTTTCCTAAGCAGTAACCAGTTATTTTGGTGCCATGATGTTTACTATATCATTTTTGTAGTCAAAAGCCATAGTGTAAATAGTAAGGTCCTAAATCATCTGAGCCATTTTCCCCTTGGTTAAACATCCTATTTAACTTAAGGAACCCATAAAACAGGAGTCCTTCAACATATTTGATATAGTTAATAACCGGAGTTTTTAGAACACAGAAATCACCTAGTAATAGCTACTTATTTTACAGACGATGAAATTGAGAACCAGGGAATAAAGTGACTTTCAAAAGTTCCTACACCTATAGGATGATAGAGTTTAGCCTAAAAGGTGCTTCTTGCCTCTCCATTTCTCTCTCTCTCTTAATTGTACAAGGGCTAGGTTATTTTTAAGAGTGTTTTGGTGATTGTCATTCAGAGAGCCACACATAGAAGAAAAGTTTAAGGCATAAAAGTGAACTACTGTAACCATGAATAATTATCTAACTGCCTGGCATTGTCAAAGTTTGCAGTAATATTGTATGTAATGTTGTGTTAACCTGTGTTTAGATAAAGACAGATATATACACACACATATATATATATATATATATTTAGATGACTGATAGATAAGTAGATTGTAAAGAGTTGAATAGAAAGGTAAATCAATCATTAGGTGAATGGATGGACAGATAGACGGATAAGTGAATGGAGGGTGGGTAGATGTAATGCAAGATAGAGACTGATAGATACATAATAGGTATATAGATAGATAGACAAATGATAGATACAATCATAAAGAAATGAGTATACAGCTTAATATGTTGACTCAGTCTGTATATTGAATCTGTACAACTGTAAATTACAAGTGTGTTACTTGTATAAAATTGTTTTAAAAGTTATTAGATTTGGTAGAATTGGAAAGGTATATTTTTAAATATGTTTCTTGTGATGAAGTACAGCTAGTTCAATTTATGAATGTGTTTAATGTCACTGGGGAGATCTACTAAAAAATTGATGTTAGTAAAAAAATAATAAAAAAGCCCTTTGTTTATTTATGACTTCTGAATATTATAAATCAGTCCTTCCACCTTCTCAATCCTATTAGATCAAGTCTGCAAGTTAGATTGTTAATATTTTATTCTGATCAATAACACATGGTTGGCTGATCAGAGTTATGAATGTTGCATTTTTTCCTGTCAGGCTATGAAATTTGTACTCCAGTTTAGCACCCTAATATACACACTGCTAAAATTATAGCCAAATAAATTTCATGGGTTCCATTACATGGAAATTTGTATGTGTTCTAAAACAAAGTTCCAAGCACTCAGAATGCAACGTGGGAAATTAACTGCAAAGACAAAATCAATATAGTTGGCATAAGCACCAAGCTAAGAAAATTTGAATCAAGGATCCCAGTCCCCATTCTAAGCCCTCCACTGATAAGATACTCTCCCTCCCTGCCTCATATTGTCTATTGACAATTAGCTATCTGAGCATGCTCTTTAATCTTTCATTCTCATGGGCATAGAGAAGAAGCCTAGCACTGAGTCCCAACATTTCACTGTAAAAGAGAGAGCTAGCAAACAATTTCAGGAAGTATTGAACATAATTTCACGTTGCTTTGTCTTCACCTCCAGGAGTCACTAGCCTAATTGAAACTGTCTATACTGTGATGCTATGCAGTCACTTAATTTCTTTCTTCATTTTTTTCTTCTTTAATTATTTAATTAGATTTCCTACTCTCTATTTACTTCCATTCAGTTTAAACTATTTTACAATTTGATCTCTAATTACAGTCTAATAAATGAAACCAGGACTAAATGTATATGGAGATGTCAACATACTTAATATTGTACAAAAATTTAAATGCATGTGCAATAAAACTGAGATTTGTCTCAGATTGGATGAACTTCAAGCAGTGAGCCTTCAAACTAGGTTCCTGGTATCAAAATTCCTTTAGAAGTATTTCTCTCACAGCAGCAAATCCATTGCTCCTGTTCAAAGACTACTATCCTCTGCTGATCCTAGAAGCCAAGTGAATATCAACAAAGTGGTCTTCTATCTGACAATGTAGCTAGGGATTTGTCAAGCTTCATATTGAAAATTTGACAAACAAAGGACTTTGACATGCAATTTTTTCTAGTGAGTTATCACTTTGCTCCCCTCTTCTTCCAGAACCTATTTAGAAGATTATGTTACAATTTTTATTTCAAAAATTTTCAATGGTTTTAGAACCAAGACATAGTATGGTTTTACACGTCATTCTTCAAGGTTTAATCTAAGTCCTTCCTCTTCCTAGGAGAATTCTTCAAGTCCTTTATTGACCTCTCTTTACTTTTTTCAGAGCTAATAATTCCTGCATCATTAATTTCATACATTGCTTTATATTATTACCTAACCATGTCTTAAGTCTGTGTTTCTTCTTCTTGTAATTGATGAACATTTTCAAAACAGAGATTTTCACCTGGCTTGTTTTTGTTGTTGTTAGCCATTTGTTTGTTAATTTTTTATTGGTTTTTAGTATCTGCCATAGCACTTGACTCAGAACACAGAAGTAGCGACTTGACACAATTTTTGAAGTAATATCTTTTTCTAAATAAATGTCCTTTTTTGTGTTTTCCTTGTTAATATCCAACTTTTCTTTGACTATATCATAGTAATCATAGAAAGATTGAGGGGAAAGAATTTCAGAGACAAGTAGGTGCCCCCATAAAATTCTGCCATTAACTATGAGACCTTGTACAAATCTCTAATTTGATTAGATCCTCCATGAAGTCCTTTCAAGCTCTAATATTCTAGCATATAGAACTTATGATTTCCAATTAATGTGTCCCATGGTAGTTAAAGTATAAAACTTCCTAAAAGCTGAGAGAAATTGAGAAAGTCAGAGTCTGTAGGAAAAAAGACTCTGATTTTACATCTCTCAAATGATCCTGGAGACCCAGAAGCTCTGTATCCCATAAGTTTTGGTATTTTGTGTTTTCATTTTCATTTGTCTCAAGGTATTTTCTAATTTCTGTTTTTATTTCTTCTTTGATCCAATAATTGTTCAAGAGTATTTTGTTTAATTTCCACATATTTGTAAATTTTCCCATTTTCTTTTTGTTATTAATTTTTAGCTTCATTCCACTGTGGTCAGAAAAAGTACTTGGGATGATTTCAATCTTCTTACATTTGTAATGACTTATTTTGTGATCGAGCATGTGATCTTTCCTGCAAAGTGAAGCCTGTCACATTATAAGCTTTTAATAATAAATATTTGAGAGTAAATACATGTATGATCTTTATCTACAGCGTGACGAACAATTCCAAAATCAACATCAAATCAGAATACTTCACACTTGGAGAGACAAGTGCTGAGCAGTATATGCCTCACGAAGTATATCCAGGTCTCTACTGTAATCCTTCCTGCTCCTCTCCAGTATTTTCTGTCACATATGTAAATGCTTCCACCAACTTCCATGCCATGCCCCCAGTAAATGTGTACCAATATGCCACTCGGGAGAATAGGCATCAATAAGCCAATCAGGTCATTTCAGTGTGTGGGAGGAGGAGGGATACTGGGAAAGAGTTTCAAGCTGCTAGGTGATGGGAAAAAAAGAGAATAAGAGGCAAAAGGGATCCCTGTTTCCAGAAATTGCTGGCTAACAGTTGCAAGTCATCTCATCTTGTAGCCTATAGTTCAATATACTGGTCAAGTAAGCAAGCTCAAGGTTACTCAAAAGAGATTGGAAAGAGATAAGAACTGGATAAATTTTCTTCTGTAACTCCAACACAGTTCTCAAGTACAGACTGTATTTTTAGCACCCTTTTATCAACCATAGAAAAAAAGTAAGACAAAACTTCCATCAGATCACCTGAGAATCTGTAAAAAGTTCTCACAACAAAAACTGGATAAAATTAGCCTGTTGCTTAGAGTCTGCCCTCAGTTACTTAATACTACACCATTATCTCCACAATATATATCTAGCATCCAAGGCTCTGGCCACCTTCTATCAGTGCAATCTTTCTTTTCACTACAAGTGACTGAGTATCCTGTTCTCTAGAAATAGTAAATCACATGTTGTTTGTGAATTCAATAGAAATTTTTATACTTCTCTGCCTTTGCCTATGCTGTTCCTTCCTTCTGACGTATTTTCCCCCAAATTGGTCTTCAAGTCTCACATTCAGCACTACCTCTGAGAAGCTTTCTCTGACTCTGCAAGCACATTTGGACTTGCCTTTTCCTAAGTCCCCATATTACTGTAATGCAAATTTACATCATGGCAATTATGACATTACATTGAAATTACCTGACTTCTTATTAGATATAATCCCTTTAAGGATAAGGATGGTGTGTTATTATTTCTGTTTCCAAACAATAGAACAGTTCCCGATAGGTAAAAAGGGCGAAAAATCATTTCTTGAATTGTCTTTACTGAGAGAGGAGATTAAGTTACCATCTGTTTGACAAAAGCAAAAAAATCCTTCTTATGATAATGTCATCTTTTCTCTACTGACTAATGTTGATTTACTTTGACAAGGGGCCAATCTTACCCTCCTACAATTAAAAGTACACATGGAAGAGCTAAGTTAACTATTCAATGTACAATGATATGCGAATGAGTAAAAGGAGATTTCTATTGGAGTGTAGATAAGAGAAAAAGAATCAGAACACAGGAGGAGAGAGGCATTAAAAAAAAAGGAGATAGAAGTATAACAAAATTTGTATACCCCAATTTGGCTTAAATCTTCATATAGGAATAATTTTTAGGAATATCTGTGTTCCCTGGTGATTCAAAAACTGCTATGTTTGTTGAGAGCGAGTCATCAAAAGTTGAGCACAAGAGTGGATTATGTCCAAGTAAGGTTAGAGCTAGAAGAAAACTTATAAGTATGCTGATGGAAAAGGCATATTCTGTATTTTAAGTTCTTTATTAGGGACCACAAACAGCTGTGGTAATACACATGAATGGAGTGGCCTGGTGCAAGACAAAACAGAGATGAGCTCTCTGGTAAGAGCTCAATCCAAAAACCCAGCTTCACCTTAGAATTCTGGCCCAATGTTGGCAGGTTTGCGTTTGTTTCATTTTTTAAGAAAATCCATCAAGATGTATTTTCCTTTGAAAACTCTCACTGTCTAATTGTATTAATTAGTTTCATTTCTTTATAACTCTTTGAGAGAAGACAAAACATATTGAAATGTAGGCACTTGTGGCTTGCAACCTGTAGACTTGTAAACTCTGCTTAAAGAATAATGAGAAAACTAGGATACAAGCGTTAATTAACTTGGCCAAAACCACAAGCCTTGTAAGTGGTGCAGAGCTGAATGCACATCAGGCAATCTGGCTTCAATAGTGATACTCACAATCCCCACTCCAGGAGTTCTTAGTCATGTGCGTGTGTGTATGGGTGTGTGTGGTGTGTGTGTGGTGTGCACACACACAGATGCATAAATGTACCACAGACTCCTTCATAAGTACAGTGAAGTCTAAATCTTCCTTATTAGAATAACGTCTCAAACACCCAAAATAAAATACATAGGAACACAAAGAATACCAATTAAACTGAAATATAGTCCAACGCACTATGAGGACATAGTTTGGCATTTAACTGATTCCCCGGGAATGGGCTCTACCACCAGAAATGCCCAGGTGGAGATTAGATATTTATCCCACACCTTGAGGAGTATCTTAGCCAGATGAAATGTCTGTTTATGCTATAATTTTATGGTTCCAATTTTAACAATTTCCTAAACAATGCTTTATACCATGTCTCCAAATAAATGATTCTTTTATTTTCTGTTGATCTAGACAAAGACTTTCTGCCTATAGTTGAAACATTTAATAATGTTGTATATATCAAATGAATAGATAATTGTCACCATTCATTTCCTAGTTAATATTTTTAATAAATCCAGGTATATAAGAATATAAAGCATTTCACCTCTATCTTTTGAATGGGTAAAAGATAAAGAGAGAAAAATATGTGAAGAATATTTTATTGCTTTTTAATCCTGTACATTTTATTCAAAAATGTTATTGTGATAAAACAAGACACTGACCTATTGAACACTGTATATTTATTATTTTCCCCCTTTCATACAATCTTGGAATATATTTGTGGTTAAAATGAAGAAGAAATGCCCAAAATATAATACTTCTTTTGAAAATCACAGATATACAAAGGACAACATTAGCTACAGAAATGCATCAAATATTAATAATTGGTATGAATCCGATATTTTAACATTAGTTAATATTAGATAAATTGACACGTCTTATTGCATATAAAACCATGCTATTTAAGTTCAAGTAAGCATATTTATTTCCATTCCAGTAACCCTGAGGTTTTATATATCTTTAACACAATAGCAACAATAACAATAATATTATTAGTTAATATTCATTAAGTCCTTAATGATCACCAAGCACTGTTAGTTATGTTGCATGTGTTTTGGTTTTGTTTTCACAACATCCCTAAAAGTTAAATAATATGTCCACATTTTGTATGTGAAGAAACTGAGTCAGAAACATTAAAAATACTTGCTAAAGTTTGAACAAGACAGTGGTAGGACTAGAATTCAACCTACAACAGACTGATCCTATGTAAGTGCTAGATGCATGTCCTTATGTCTTTGAGGGATCTTGTACTTTGATCTGTTCTTGTACTTTAATGGATCTCTAGCACCTAGAAAGAATCTTAAACAGAGTAGATGCTCAATAAAGAATTGTTGAACTAAGGATTGAAATTGTAGAAGTGAGGTTTACATTTAAAAACAAATATGATAATTTTTGCTGAAGCATGGGAATGAGGAAAAAGCGTATTTTCACCTTAACTTTTTTTCATTTGACTAACTGACTTTGACGCATGAAGGAAGAGTTTATGATTTGCTTAAAAATGAACTAGTATTTCAAATTAAAAATGTTTTATACCTAGCTCCAACATTATATTTATTCATAAACTTCTGCATATTATTTAACTGCAGATGTTAAATATTTGAATTGGAAGTCATTTGTGTTGGAGTATGTTCAGACCTAAAAAATCCAAGATAAATGTAAGAAATTATTAATGCCATATCTCTCTTTGCAAGGTAGAGGCTTATGTTTTCTTCATGGTACTCACAAACTGTCTGAATACATGATGATAGATTCTTTCCTGAACTCTTTTCATATACTTCAGTCAATTCAAAGAGATACAGCCTATGAGTATATTGCTATTCATAGAAATCTCAAAGTATCAGGCAATCTAATCTAGTTTCTCACACACACACACACACACACACACACACACAACGTTGGCAATGGAAAGCTGGAAAGTGTCGTATTTATTTTTCTGCCGTATGTCTTAATAAACCACAGTTGTAGAGACATCCTAAAACTAGAATATCAAATTTAGTGTGCTTTTGGTTTGATCTGAATGCAGTTATTTTTCAAAGGCATACTACTTAAAATAATTTGGGGTAGAAGTCTACATGAGCGGGAAGGGAAAGACAATGACACTTTTAGAATCCATTCTCTCTACTTTCCATAAAATAGCCATAACACTTAATTTACCTTATTATCCTCAAATTAGAGATTAGGAGGGGATAGACAGGTAAAGTGAATCTCTCAGGATAACACAACTAGGAAACAAAAGATCCAAGATTTAATTCTGAGGTTCGCATCTGTTTAGAGCAATGATCTTTGCCCTTTACAGTGATTCAGCCTTGAAATAGCTCTATTAATTCTCTATTAATTCTTAGCTTCTTAAGCTGTTAGGGAAATGGATTGGCCACTGATTTCCAAAGACGGTCTTGTAATAAAAAATACATAATTAATAATAAACCGAATGAAAGAGAATTGTGCTATATATTTCTTAAATTATTTTCATATTTTCTTTCTACAGGCTACATTATATAGGAAATTAGACACAAAACTCATACTAAGACTAATAATATTTTGTAATATTTTATTTTGGAAGTGAAAAACTTGTCATGAATTTAATAGTTAATAATTTTCCAAATGTTTAGTCTTGGTGTTAAATGAATGTATCCTATCTCTGATATTCAGTCAGGTTTTGGAAGCCAATCAGATGTGAGTACTTTACCTTCTCTGGTTTAAACTTTACAAATTGCCATTTGATTAATTATTTTCTGTATCACTTATCAAGTGCGATGGTGATTTGCACATCTATTAAGAAACCATACTGCTAAATTTCAAATCCTCTAAACTGTTCTATTTTGTTCAAAGATGACTCAGAACTCAAACAATTGGACCCATTGAATCAAGATTGTTCATCATTATTCAAAAGAATCTATTCAAAATATCAATATTCCCATGAAAATATTTCTAATGCTATGGGGAAAAAAAACTTGTTATGTCCAACACACTTAATTAAAGTTCTACAACTGGACACCATCAGAATACCACAGGGCTGTGCAGCTGAGTGGGAATGTTCTGTGTAAGAAGACAAGAGAACGCTATTTTATCCCAGGCTTCTCTAAGCAGTCTTAATCTGAGGTGTGTTTATAGGACTCAGGAGTCTATGAAGCCGTGAATTTATGTTCACAATTTTGATGATATGTGCATTTTCCTTTGAAAATAACCTATACGTTTCAAAAGATTTTCAAATGGATCCAAAATCTGAAAAGGTTTGCAAACACTGCACTAATTTTTTGTCAAGATGTTTCACATCTCTCAACCCTGGCTTCCTTTTGTCACGAATTTAGACTAAATGACTTAAAAGGCAGATTCTAAGTTTAATTTCTGTTGCTCTAAGAACAAAACTGATGACACTAACTCTCAGAAAAGAGATCTCCTTTCATTGTGATGGTTAGCTTGGAGTAGTTTTCCCAAGATTTAAATATTGGTTACTTAGTTTCTTCTTTAAAGCTGTCTTCACTTCCTGGTTTCTCAAAGTATAGATAAGTGGATTCAGAAACGGGGTAAAGATGGTGTAGAAAACAGAGAGAACTTTGTCCACCTCAAAGTTTGTGAAAGGCCAGACGTAGATGAAGATGCAAGGTCCAAAGAACATTAACACAACTATGAAATGTGCAGTGCAGGTAGAAAAAGCCTTAGAAGATCCTGTGGAGGGGTGGTCCTTGATAGTGACAAGAACAATGATATAGGAAGTGAGCAAAAGTAGAAAACTTATAAGAGCAATCACACCACTGGTTGAGATCATGAAGATTCCGAGAACATACACATCTATACAAGCCAGCCGGATGACCAAAGGAAGGTCACAGAAGAAACTGTCTACAACGTTGGGACCACAGAAGGGTAAATAGAGGATAAAAGCTAACTGGCTTATTGTGTGCAGGAAGCCCACTGTCCAAGAAATTACCACAAGCCCAACACATACTTTTTGGCTCATAATTGTTGAATAATGGAGAGGTTTGCATATGGCAATGTACCTGTCAAAAGACATGGAGATCAGCAGCACAATCTCAGTCCCAGTGAAGAGGTGCAAAAAGAAGATCTGAGAAATGCAGCCTTCAAAGGAGATGGTCTTATGCTGAGCAAAGATGTCCATGATCATCTTTGGAGTGGCAAAGGATGACAGGCACATGTCAATGAAAGACAGATTGCTGAGCAGGAAGTACATGGGGGAGTGAAGATGTAGGGTGGACAGGACTGTGAGCAAAATCAGGCAGTTGCCCAACATGGTCATCAAATAGAAAATGGAAAACATCACAAAGAAGAAAATCTGGAGTTCAGGAGAGTCAGTAAGTCCAAGTAACATGAATTTAGACACTCTGGAATTGTTGAACCCTTCCATCTGTCTGCAGACTCTGCTCTATAATGACAAAATAGAACAAAATGACAGAGCTAGAAAATGTCATACTTCTACAATTACATATGAAGGAGTTATGATATCAGTTAATAATTCACTAGAACACTGATTACCTAAAATCTAATTAATAACTATTTCTCAGTAAAGATTTTTCTTTCTAGAACCACTTAACAATTGATATCAGCTATAACTTCAAATGGACAACTTCTTGGTTTTGCCCATCAGTACACATTGAGTTATACTAATCACATACCCACACAATAAGATTCCTGTTCTGAATGCTGACTAAGAAGTTACATAATCCATATTTCTAGAGGAAGATCACACTAACTTAGTGTGCTCTGCTTAATGTCAGGTAAATAAAAATTTAATTGAGGGTTAAAATCTCAAACAATTCTGTTAAACCAAAAAAATGTAGCCATGTTAAGTTCACTATTGTTGAACACTGGATTTAACTAACCGTTTAACATAATGATTTCAGAAGTCCCACTTAGTATCCTACAAGGGTGATTAATAATTTTACAATTAAATGAACTCCTGTTTTCTCAGCTGCAGAAAAATACAGTTCCATTCTCATCTCACTTGCACATTTTCAAGTTGTTTTGTCAGTATTGATAATTACTATGTTTAACTATTAATACATAAATGACAAAATTAATTTCTTAATTCCATAAAACTACTGAATACCAATGATATACCTGCAACATCTGAGAGTCATTCTCAACTTTGTTATTTTATGATCTCATAGAAATATTTTTTAAAAAGAGAGAGAAAATTTCTCCTTTATTTCTCCTCATGCTATTCAAACAAAGCTAATTTTTTAGACTAGAAAAACAAAAGAAAGATTCTAGGACAGGGCCAAGAAATATACAAGATGAGTTTGGGCATCAAACTCATACAAGATGCTCAAAACAAACAAAAAAACCAACATTGATGGTTGTATGTCAAAGTGACACTAGAGCCAACTGAAAGACAAAAAAAAAAAACAAAGAAAGATATTTTAAGGACTCAGATTCATTTTTCAAAATTGGGTTTTTGACTACAGTACATTGCAAGTTCTGTAAACATCTCTTATGACGTTTTTCATGTAAGTGACTTCCTGTTTTCCCACCTGGAGAAAAATCTGGCTCCAAGCTCATTCACTTGTGCATATCAAGTTGTTCCATCAATATTGATAAATATTTTTTAAAATTTGTCAAAGAACAATATTCCAGAAATCTTAAAACTGAAGTATGGCAAAGTGGTCAAGAGGATGAAGGTGTTCTTGAACTGCTATGTGACCTTGATCATACCTGAGTAGCTTCTCTAAGATTTGACCTCTTTACCTGTGAGCATCAAATTAGATGGTTTACATAAAGCACTAAGCGTCTTTCCTGGGCAACATTCAAGAATTCTCTAGGTTTCAAAATCCAAATTTAAGAATACTGTTCAGAAATAATCAGCTTTTTTTATTTCATTAATAGTAATAATAATAATAATTGCAGTAAAAATATTCTCATCTAATTTCAGTTCAGGAACGTAGAAAAAGATATGTGCTTTCAAAATCTTTTTGAAGTTAAATTATTTCTTTTCATATGAAAATTATGTAAGTACCTTGATATATTAAATGCACTGAAAACTCTCACCCTGACGTATTTGAATATTTCTTCTATTTTCATGACCTACCAATGTAATTTTAATGAGAACACGAGACTATTATTATACCTAACTTCATTCGTTATTCATTGTAAGTGAATAAACAGTTCTCAGACTTTTTTCTTTCATTTCTAGATTTAATACCAAATTAATGGAATCATCCATCTTTATGCTTTCAAGTTACATATATTTTTATTTACTCTTCCTCTATCATTTTTGCTTTATACAATTATTAAATGAAATTTTTCTTTGCTACCTGAAGAGTAAAAACTACAACTGCTTCTCAAGAGCCTTAATATTATTTCCAGCTTTTAACCTACCATTTATGTATCAGGAATCAAAAACACCATATCCTTGGAGATTCATAAGCTTACTGAAATCACCATGGTCCTTAGTAATCATCAGAAGCCTGGAGCATGGATATTTATTTTCTCCAGTCTTAGTATAAAATCCATTTGAAAGCATCAAACTTTAGGAGATCAGGGATTACACACTACAACCTACATGCAGTGGGAGTTATTAAAATGTTGAGCCTACTTTTCCCAAAGTTGCAACAAGAACTGTGGAACGTGTCTTTACTTTTTAAAGTGAGTATGCACATTCCTGATGAGGAAGTGTTCGTTAGAGAAACAGCACAACTGGGACCAGCCTAGGAGAAGGAGACATTTGAGTAGTCTTTTAAGGAGTATTTAAGAAGCAAAAAATTGCTCCTTTGAGTCTGCAGATATCCCCGCCCATCTGTCTCAGTGCTCTATGGCCCAAAGCTGGAAAATTACTCTTGTAGGCTATGGCACTTTGTCACCAGCAAACTCTTGCTTACTGGAAGAATCACGTAAAGGAAGAATCATGCATTAAAGCTTCTGACAAGATATTAAAAATTAGCACAAGCTAATAGGTATAATGATAGCTGCTGCCATGGTTAGGTGAAATCTGGGGAAGGGGAAGTTGGAAAGCCGAAAGCACATGAAGAAGTGAAGACAGACACTAAGCAAGTACTCTAGAAGAATGTTGTAAGAAGGAAATTATACAAATAAATGCAAAGCATTAAGCACAATACATAGCACAGAGAAAGTGCTGAGTAAAGTGTAGCAGAAGGAATAGCAGAGGTGATTATAGCCATTAACATTATTTTTTGAAATGTCCATGACGCATAATCCAGGAAGATAGCAGATGTGGATTCTCAACCTGAAACCAAAGCTGAGGGTCTCGCCATATTTACTTGAAAGTCAATTATTCATCTGTGGCTTGCTCCCCAAGCTTTCTTGCCACACACTTCAGTGATTTGAACTCTTCACAACTACCATACCTATCCTACATCCCCCACAGGACTAGCAATAAAGCCCAAGAGAATCTTCCCTAACTGACCACATTCCTTTCAGGCTTTGAAATAAGAAAACAGGCAACTTTCTTTTTAAGATTTTTAAAAATGTCTCTTCTGTAAGGAGAAAGAAAGAAACTGACTAAGAAAAAAAAAGCCAACAAAGGCAACAACAATTGCAAAGATTTAGTAAATTATCTAAAATATTTGCCCGGGTTAAAAACAAAAAGTAAGTGTATATAATTATTCCTAGAGTCATCCTAGAAAAGGCAAGAGAATTAACAGAAAAATTATAGAAACAGAAGATAATTCAGAACGAGAGAGCATGAAGGAGTTTTTGGGCATTGTGGAACTGCTCTGTATTTTGGTTGCGGTGAAGTTCACACAAATTTATATGTGTTAAAATTTATAGAACTGCATACCAAAAGAAACCAAAATCAGTTTTACTTTAAGATCGTTTATAAAGTAGAATTTAAAAAGCAAAACCAGATAATTCAGTACAGTGGATGGTTACAAGATAAGCAAATAAAACAAGTAGCTTTTTTATAAGCCAGCAATTACTTATTAAAGGATACAGTAAAAAATGAATCTATTCAGATGAGCAAAAGGATATATAAAGTAAATAAGAATAATCTTAATCAGAAATGTGTTATATCCATGTGACAAAAACTATACCACTCTACAAATGGGGGGAAAAAAAACCCTTGTATAAGTTGAAATACATACTATGTTATTGGAAGGAGAAACTCAATATCATTCAATACATACATTCCAATGACCTCTCTGTAAGTTTTTTGACTTAACAAAATAATTTCCAAAATTTTTCAAGAGGCAAATCGGGTGAAATTAGTCAGAAATTAAAAATAGCAATTCTAATATGCAAAAGTATTATAAAACCATAATAAATAATGTGGAAGAAGCATGGGACATGACTAACAAGTTAAAAGAAAGGGAACTGAGAGTACAAAAAAATAGACTTAAGAATATATAAAAAATTACAATATTATAATATTTATAGTCTTATAACCTTAATTGGCAAAAGAGACTTTTTAGATGGAACTGAGGTTGTTAATAAGCTAATCTTAGAATAGGGAGATCACCCAAGATTATCGTGGTGAGCTCAATACAATCACAAGTGTCTTTAAAAGTGAAAGAGGGATTTTGTACATATCAATAAACTAATTCTAAAGTTTAAGCGGAAGGCAAAAATCCTAAAATAGCCAACACAATACTGAAGAAAAAGAACAAATAGAACGACTCACACTAACCATTTCAAGAAATACTATAAAGCCACTGTAATCAAGACAGCATAGTATTAATGAAAGCATAGATACATAGATAAATGGAACACAACACAGAGCCTAAGAAAAGACTCACACAAGTATAGCCAATGATCTTTGACAAAGGAGCAAAGGCAATTCAGTAAAGAAAGAACAGTCTTTGCAACAGATGGGTCATAGATCTAAAGGGAAAATGCAAAACTATCAAACTTGTAGAAAAAATGTAGGAGAAAATTTAAAGGACTTTGGGTTTGGCAATGAGTTCTTTTTTTTTTTTTTTGAGGAAGATTAGCCCTGAGTTAACTGCTGCCAATCCTCCTCTTTTCGCTGAGGAAGACTGGTCCTGAGCTAACATCCATGCCCGTCTGCCTCTACTTTATATGTGGGACGCCTACCACAGCATGGCTTGCCAAGCGGTGCCATGTCCACACCCAGGATCCGAACTGGCAAACCCCAGACCCCCGAAGCAGAACGTGGGAGCTTAACTGCTGCGCCACCAGGCCAGCCCTGGCAATGAGTTCTTAGGAGCAACACTAATAAAATGATCTATAAAAGAAAAAAATTAATAAACTTTTACTAAATTTAAAAACTACTGTTCTGTGAAAAATAGTTAATAAAAAGGCAAGCCACAGACAATGTTAAAATATCTGCAAAACACTTATCCAATAAAGAACTTCAATCCAAGATACACAGAGAAACTCTTAAAACTCAATAATAAGAACAGGAACACAATCTAAAACGGGGAAAAAGATCTGAAAGACACTTCTGCAAAGAAGATAAACAAATGGCAAATCAGTATATTAAAAGATGCTCAACATCATTTGTCATTAGGAAATTGCAAATTAAAGCAACAGTGAGATACTACTACACACCTATTGAAAGAGCTAAAGTCCAAAAAAACTGACAATACCAAATGCTGTTGAAGATGTGGAGCAACAAATACACTCATTCGTCGCTTGTGGGAATGAAAAAATGGTACACTAACTTTTGAAGTCTGGATGTTTCTTACAAAGCTAAACATAGTCTTACCATATTACCAGGCAGTCACATTCCTAGTATTTACCCAACCAATTTGAAAACTTATATCTGAACAAATACCTGCTGGTAAATGTTTCTAACAGTTCATTGATAATAGCAAAATTGGAAGCAACCATAATGTTCTTCAGTGGGTGAATGGATAAACTGTAGTATATTCACACAATGGAAAATTATTCAGAAATAAAAGGAAATGAGTTATCAAGCCCTAAAACATGTGGTGAATCTTAGGTTCATATTGTTAGGTGAAAGAAGCCAGTCTGAAAAGGCTACATACTAAATGATTTCAAATGTATGACATTTTGGAAAAAGCAAAACTATGGAGAGAATAAAAAAATCAGTATTTGTCAAAGGTGCAGGGGGAAGATAGGAGGGTTGGATAGGTGAAACAAAAATGATATTTTAGGGTGTGAAATTTTTCTTTATAAAATACTGCAATGATAAATACATAACATTCTGGATTTATCAAAACTCATAGAACTTCATAGCATAAGAATGAATGTTAATTTATGCAAATTTTAAAAAATTATTTAGGAGGTTGAGGAATGCCAGGATGGAATGCAGACTGTGGCAAAAAAAATGTAACAAATGTGTGAAATGACTTCACTGAAAGGGATGGGAGGAAAAGGGGCTGACCTAAGCAACTTTGGAAATTAGTGGAATATGTATGATTAATGGCAAAAAGAACTGCAGTTAAGCATTGTATTCTACTTGATTGAGTTGTTTCCCATGGGATATGGGTTAACAATTTTGATACTGCTATATACATGTCTACTAGTATTGAACAATAAAGTAAATGGATGGGGGATGATGGTAGCCAAGTTTCTCACTGTTGGAGTGGGGATTTACAGATGAAGAAAGGGAAGAGGCCAGAGTGCTCCATGAGGTAATGGATTAAAGTTGGAAACATCAGTATGAATTCATGTTTAGCTCAATATAGACACAGAGTTTTACAGGCCGAAGGATTTATGGATACATTTATATGTGAATGTTAGTACACACACATATTCCTTCACTCTGTTACCTGACAGGGCCGACAGTAGTGACACCCCAGTAGCAATAGACACACCTAGCCCCAAGACCATGGTTTCTAATACCATTCTATAACAAAAAAAAAAACAGGGCTTCTTAGATTCTAGGACCCCAGAAACTCAGGTCCTTCTTAACACAGAGTCTGCTGACTCTTCCTGGTTTCCTCTTCCTACACTGTGCCCCAGAAATTCTCTCAGAGAAATAAGTTTGGCAACCATAGAGCTCAGTGGTCCTTTTACTGTTTGTTGCCTGATGTTCAGTGTCTTGAAATCTGTTTTTTTGTAGATTTTGTCCATTTTTGTTATTGTTTCAGGCAGGAAGGTAAATCAGTTCCTCTTATTCCATCTTGATCAGAAGTAGAAATCCTGGTTTATTTTAATAACTTGCTAAAATTTTTAAACACAAATAACAGAATTAATTTACTTCATATGTCAATAGGAGATACAAATCAAATGGATAAAATTAGCATGCCTATTTTTAAAAATAAGCAATTCACGTGAAAATTGAATCCATGAAAAACATTTAATGAACAGATATTGTTTGCAACAGTCAAAATTGAAAGCTTTAATAAATTTTATACTTTTGTCTTTTCCAAATGGCAAATCTTTGAAAGAAAGCAAATACTACTATTGGACGTAGTGAGGACAGATAATATCACATATTTTTGGAGGGAAATAAAATGGACAGAATTTCGCTATACATCAATGTTTATACCTTGTAACTCAGTAATTGTACCTCTAAAAATTTATTTTCAGAAGATAATCAAATAAGTATGAAAAGTTATTATTATGTGAATTTAGCTTAAAATAGCAAAAATCTAAATATACAAAAGCAGAGATTATTTAGATTAACGATAATCAAAAATGGTAATTGAATAATTCATAGTCATTTAAAAGAGTATTGTGATCTATATTTAATTAACACATACCCATATTAAGAAAAAAGAACATCATAAACTACCTGTATTATATGACTCAATTTTTATAAAAATAACAATGTCTTTGTACGTGTAAAACTGACAAAATTTTAATATTAAATATTTCTGTGTGATATAATTTTCACATTCTTCTTTAATTCATTTTTAAATAAATATTTATGAGCACCTTCTTTGTGCCAGGCAGTAGACAAAACAAATAAATCTCTGCTTTCATGGATGTTATATACCATGAAAACACTAGCAATAAGAGAAGCATGTGGAACATATGTTATGTTAAAACGTAATAAGTGCGATGGACAAAAGTAATGCTGGGAAGGCAGATATGTAGCTTTGTGGGAGAGAATTGCAAATTTCAATAGGGTGGTTAAGGAAGTTCTCAGATGAAAGGTGACATTTGAGTGAAGTTCTGAAAGGAATTATGAAGTGAGTCATGCTGATATATTGGGAAAGTCCCTTCCAGACAGAGGAAACAGCAAGTCAAAGGTCCTAAGTGGGGAGCAGCCTGGTATGTTCAAGGATCAGGAGGCTACTAGGACTGAACAGAGTGAGTGAGATGGGATGCAGTAGGATAAGAGGTCAGAGAGTGGAAGATTTAGGATTTGGGGCACATGGATAAGGTCATATGGACCTTTATAGACAAGGAAAGACTTTAGTTCCTACTTTAAGTAAGATGAAAGTCACTGAGGCTCTTGAGAAGAGAAGAAGACAACACGATTTTATTTGAACCAGATCATTCTGGATGCTCAGCTGAGAATAAACTAAAATGGAACAAGAGCGGAAATGAGACCAGTAAAGAGGCTACAGCCATAACATAGGCACAAGATGACAGTGGTTTGGGCCTAGGAGGTAGAATTTGAGGGAGAGACGATCTAATCAGGCAATTTTAGAATGTCAGAGCTAATCTAGACTCGTAAACAGATTGGAAGTGGAATATGAGAGAAAATATTTCTAAAATATTATTAATCCAAAATTTTGGACCAGAAGCTGAGAAGATGGAATTACAATTAACCAAGATGGAGTGTCAGGTGGCAAAAAGGGTGTGGTGAAGATTAAGAGTTAGTCTGGGATTTTATGCTTGAGGTAATATTAAGAAATGAAAGTAGAGCTGTGGCAGTGGCATGGGCTGCTGAGCAGAGGAGTATAGAGTTCATGAGAAAGATATGTGTAGAAGTTATCAACATATAGATGGAATTTAAAGCTAAGAAATCTGGCTAGCTAAGGAGAAACTCTCAGAGAAGAATAAGGGCACAGCTGGTTAGGTGGAGAGGGGAATATGAAAGTGGAGAGTCCTGGGAAGGCAGTGATCCAGTGCGTCAAGTGCTGCTCAGAGGTCAAATGTGATGAGACCTGAATAAGGATCATTTGTGATCACGACAAAAGCTGTTTTATTGGCATGATTGGATGAGTTGAAAAGGAAAAAAAAATTGAAAGAGACAGTATAAACATGCCAGTCTGATAAGACTACATACTACATGATTCCACCAATACGATATTCTGGAAAAGTCAAAACTATAGAGACAGTGAAAAGGTCAATGGTTACCGGGAGCTTGAGGCCAGGATGAATACACAGAGCACAGAGGATTTTTAGGGCAGTAAAGCTATTCTGTATGATACTGTAATGGTGGATATATGACATGCATTTGTCAAAATCCATAGAATTGTACGCAAAATGCAAACTTAATGTAAGCTATGAAATTTATTTTAAAATAATGTACCAATATTGTTTCAATTATAACAAATGTACTACACTAATGCAAGATATTAATAGGAGAAAACACATATATGTAGTGGGGGACAGAGGATATATGGGAACTCTGCATTTTCTTCTCTACTTTTTTGTAAATCTAAAACTTCTCTAATAAAGTCTCTTATTTTTTTAAGTATAAACAACTTTTGAGGATCTTAGCTATAAAGTGAAGGAGAGAAATTAGGTAATTGTACAGAGGGAGAAAGGCAACAAAGAAATTTTATATAAGAGAAAGAAATGAGGTTATATGCTAAGAGAAAAAATTCAAAGGGAGGAAAAAGTTAATGGTGCAGAAGAGAGAAAGAATTACCGGAGTAATTGACCTAAGTAGGAAAGAGCATATGGATTCCAACGCACAGATGGAGGAGTTGACTTTTGTAGGAGTAGTATCAAGTCACCCAGTTTCACGAGTGATGAAAGAAAACAAGGTTCCAGATGCAGGTATAAGGATATATGTAGTGGCAGAAGCTTGAGGAATTCTCTCCTGCTCCTTTTCTCAGTGAAATAGGAGCCAACATGATAAGCTGAGAGTGAGGATTGGGAAGGAGATACTTGAGGAATGAAAACACTTTTTCTATAGCCTAAATAGTTTTACTATGCACATGATTTATATTTTAATACTTGATTATTTTTCAAATAAAATATAAAATGTTAATCCTAGATCTTTTATACTTGGTTTCCAGATTTATTTTGGATGCTGCCCATTCAATAACTTCATAAGAGACTTGAATTTGGCTAATTTAATTATGCAGAGAGGCGGTAGCAGGAGAGGCTTCTGTTTTGCTAGGGGAGATCTGATAGGCACACAGTGGCTCTGGATCATTGTGCTGTTGCTAGTCCTATGGCTGATGTGGTGGTATTTTTCAGACAACGGATGGCAAAGTTTGCAGCAAGAACAACTCCCTTGACAGCCTACACCTCCTGTGTTGTTCTGGGAGACATCTTTGGATGCCCAACCTTTAGTCTGTTCTTCTAGACTGTTCAACTATTTTGTAAGCATATAATTCTCTATATTAAATCATATTATGTTTAAAATAACTAGAATGATTTCCACTCTCTGTGATAGGTTCCTGACTGATCCACCAAAGACATATCATTACTATACTCAGTGTGAAATCAATCGGGGTTGAAATTAACATATAGCTAGGAGTCATAAAAATCTGCAAGTAGTAATCATGAAGTTCTGCAAAAAGGAAAGTAAAATGTTTACATGACATTTTCCCATGAAAATGACCAGGTTTTTTTTTTACCTTCCTCTAATTATAGAAGAAAAATAGGCAGTTTAGTTTCTTTCAGAATATGCCTACAAGCATAATATTTCCCTAGAGGATATTTTTCAACTCTTTGATACAAAGCCTTGAGTTTGCAGCCCTAAGCCATTTAGGAAACAGCATCAGAAAAATGATTCTCTTGCTTAGAGCCTTAGAATCGTTTCTTATTGTAATTACAAAAAAATCAAACTCTTTATATTCCCTTCATAGACCCATATGTGTGTTGGGCACTACAAGTATCTCCAACTTTAATTCTAATTATTTTCACATTCAGTTATTTTACCTCAATCAATTTGAAATTTGTTGTGTTCGTCAAATATGCCAAGCTCATTACCATCTTCAGATTTTTGCATGACCTCTGCCCTCTGCCTAGAATGCTCTGCCTCCAGATATCCCCACTGTTGACTCTTTCACTTTATCTATATATCAGCCAAAATGTCACCTCCTCATGAAGTCTCTGCTTGAAGACTGAAAGTAAACTGACTAGCCCCCATCCCACACTCTCTAACCATCTATCTATCTGTCTGTCTATCTCTCTATCTATCATCTACCTACCTATCATTTTACTTTTCTTTTCAGTTTCTTCAGAACAATATCTCTTCCTGAAATCATGCTGTTCCTTTTCTATCTTAATGGCTATCTATTCCCACTAGACCGTACCTCCAGGAGAGCAGTGACTATACCTGTCTCATTAATAATTCTTTCTCCCAGTGCCTAGCATACTCCTGACTAGTGAGAGGTGCTCAATAAATGCAGTATTTGGAAATGAATAAGTTAATTTCAGATGAAATTCTCCAGTCATGATTTCCTATTGTTTTTTCCCTTCAGTTAAGGAAAAAACACTGTTGTTTTTCAGTTAGGCTATGTGCTGGTTAAACAACCTCCTCACGGAAGCTTTCACTTCCTGGTTGCGAAGGGTATAAATCACAGGATTCAACAAAGGAAAGATTACAGTGTGAAAGAGAGAAACCACTTTGTCAGCTGGGAAGGCTCTGAAGGGGCGAGTATAGATGAAGATGCCAGGCCCAAACATGAGAAATATAACGATAATATGGGTGGTGCACGTGGACATGGCCTTGCTCTTCCCCTCAGAGGAGGACCCACGTACACGGCAGAGGATGACCGCATAGGAGGCCAGAAGCCCTAGGAAGCACAGGAGGGTCATCAGACCACTGTTGAAGACCATCAGGAGCTCCACCACAAAGGTGTCCGTGCAGGCCAGCTTGATAACCTGAGGCACATCACAGAAGAAATTATCCAGCTGGTTTGGGCCACAGAAGGGCAAGCGGAGGATGAGGGCCACTTGGATAATGGAATGGACAAAGCCTCCAAGCCACAGAGCTAACAGCAAGACATAGCAGGCTCTAGGGTTCATGACAGTGGAATAGTGCAAAGGCCGACAGATAGCCATGTAGCGGTCAAAGGCCATCACAACAAGGAGTAACCCCTCCCCTCCTCCGAGGAAGTGCAAGAAAAAGAGCTGAGTGATGCAGCCTCTGTAGGAGATTACCTTCTTCTCAGAGAGGAAGTCCACCAGCATCCTGGGAGCCACAATGAAGGAGTAGGATGCATCCAGGAAGGCCAAGTTGCCCAGAAAGAAGTAGAGGGGGGCTGTGAGGCCAGGGTCTAATCTGATGGTGAGGATGATGAGGAAATTTCCAGGGAGGATGATGAGGTAGAAAATTAAAACGAGCACAAAGACCAGGAGCTGCATATCTCGAGACTGGGTCAGACCAAGGAGGATGAATTCTGTCACCACTGTACTGTTCTCACTCTCCATCTCCTCTGTCTGTAGTGCATCAAGAAACAGAGTTTATCATTATTACTATTTCTTCCATCAAGACTCTAGTTCTTCTCCACCTAAAAATATTTGACATATCCATCACTTCAGCTAAAAACAACACGTCCAACCCTTTCCAGTATCCTCTGTAAACTCCAAAGCTTTCTCTACTCCAGATTTAAAGCAAACAACAAACAAACAAACATCCTGTTCTCAAAGCCACACTCATATACCCATTCACCCATGTGCTTCTATAGGACTTCTCTCCACTTTAAGAGTCTGACATCCCACACTCTAGGATTCTTACCTTCTTGAGGCATAGAAGTTTCCTGATTGAGATACAACCAACTCCAATTATCAAGATCTTTGCATTTTTGTGGTTGTACTATGCTTGAGGTTTAGCTTTTTTCTTCGATATACACCCCTTTTCTCCTCATCCACCAACCCCAAATTTTTACTAAGTATTTCCTTTCTTCAGTTTCTGTGAAATTCCCAGTTACTACCTGCTAACACTCTGCCTTGCTCTCTGTATTTTCTTATTAATTCTCTTATCACTGTCCTCTGGTCTGGTGACCTTGTATTACCTTGACTCCAACCTGATCACCAGAATCCCAACAATAACTCTTTTTCAGTTAACTTAGAGGTTGTCTCCTAGCTGTATCTCTGCTTATGTACCACTTACATAGCCACTCCATACTTTGTTCATGCAACTTAATTAACACTCACTATCTGAATCTCAATTACCTATTATATACTCCCAATCTTCTTTCTCTGATCCCAGTATGACACCGAAGGGAGAGCCTTTCAACAAACAATATGCTGCAGTACAAAATTTGCCAGTATAAAATTTTTAAAAATTAACTCATAAAAGCATAGCATAGAAGAGGTGGAAGTAACTATAAAGATCCTATAGTCCTATTAGTTCCTTTGAAAGACAAGAAAACTAAGGCTACTGTACTTACATGACTTAAGTTTAGAATGAGTTTTCTTTTGTGTTCTGATTGACAAGTAGTAGAAGAATGCAGGTATGTACTATTTAGTTTAAATACATAAAGAAATTATTAACAGCTTTAATCAATAGATGCTCTTTTTGTGTACTTGAATAACTAAAAATAATATAGTTAGTCTAAAATCACTCCTTTACAGAGCTTAGAATTAGAAGGTGAACTCTGTCTGAATAAAAGAATAACAGTTATTGTGGAGAAAATCCAGATTTAAGGCTCAGTCTGTTTAGTGGTATGTGCTCATTCCAGAAGGGGCACATGATGGTCTATTGAGAAGTAGAAAGAAAATGGTATTTTATATATATGCTACATGTATGTAATTATGCATATATAACTGCATTTTAATTTTATTATTTTCAAAAGGCTACTTTTTAATATTTATAATATATTATTAGTATAATAGTGTATATGCGCTTAATAAATAAATGTTCATATATTTAAGATAAATGCTTGAAAAATGTTTTATTATGAGTATGAAATGTTTTTAAAGTTTGAAAATTGCTAATATACCAAAAAATACAATGTAATATATACTGATGTTCCCCATACTATTTAACTACAAACAGGAGGGAAAATCTTTGACAGAAAATACTAGTGAGTCAGCACCTAGAAAAGAAAGACAAGAAGAGAGAAGGGTGAGGGAAAGAAAGAAGAGCAGAAAAATAGAAAAGCCAAAAAGACCCCACAAAAATAGTCTATACAGAGAATTGTTAGGGTACGTATTTTAGGAAACATTAAAAATATCTGCTGTAAGTATCTCTACAGCTGAATAGAGTGGTGAATATACAGGTTCCCATGTGTTACCAGCAGTCACAGTTGGAATTTATGAAAGTCATGCTTCAACATGTCAGCATATATACATATACAAACACTACACACACACACACAGGCAAAGTGGAAACTACACACAATTTTAATAGAAAAAAATACTTTGTAGACTCTTCAAAACAGCTTCTTTGCTCACTTCTTAACTTTTCATCACTTAGGCAGCCATTTGTCTGAACATTCATTCCATCATTCGCCTATAAAACACACTCAGGGATGTAAGTCAAGATCCCCCTTCTACTTACTCTTAGGTTTTGTGCATCCCAGATGCTCAGTCACAGTGGGTTATTTCCTGATGTGTTAGTGTTTAATGAGATCTCTAAGACATCAGAGTATTTCTGAGGGTCTTTGTGATTGAGGGTTACAGGTTCTTCCACTCTGCCTATCTCCTGTCTTGTGTCTTTGTTTTTTCACTATTACCTAACAGATGGGATTCCATACTGCCTGACACACTCGATAAATTTTCTTCCCATGTCCCATCCTCATCTACATACCTTCTGTACCTGTAATTCTGAGATAGTCATTGGCATAGATCCAGAGACTATGTTTCAGATGAATATTTCTCTAGGTAAAATACTATAAATTTCTGGGGAAAAAAAGTCTACAAATTACAGCCTCTTCAAGACAAAATATTCTACTTGACCCAAATTAGCAGGAAAGTATTGTCAGAAGAGGCTGAAAGAGAAATCTAAATCCTCACCACTGTATCTGTAATCTTCCTTGCAATTTCAGCTAATTCAGAGATTCTCCTGACTCTAGCAGTGATGATACAGAGGAGTAGGGAAGGCGAGAGAGAAATATGGAGACACAAACATCTAGGGGTAACACTGTGCAGCCTGGAGTGGAAACTGTGGTCAGACCAGCTCCTGGAGCCTTGGGTCTCTCTCTAAACAGAGCCCCAAAGGGCTGAATTCCCCATCTCTGAAACATTTCCTCATGCTTCCTTCCTTATTTTCCCTTGTTTCTCCTTTTCTCTCCTTTCATTCATTACCAAGCCTTTATTTTTCTATTTTATTTTTCTAAGTTTGACTGTTTTGTTTTCTCTTGTTAATATATTGTCTGTCATTTTCTCCTAATTTTCTTTCCCTATTTACTTTTCTTTCTTTGCATCTTGCTCTTTTTTTTTTTTTTTTATCATTTTCTCATCTGTCTCCCTCTCATTTATTTCATGTTCTTTCGCTCTGAGATTTTTTTCACTCTCTACTTGTCCTCATGTCCATTGCTACTCCATTATATCCCATACCTGTGTTGCCATTGTATCTAAAAACAAGACAAAAAAAACCTCATTGTTGTTACCTTTCAAGCAAGAATGAGCAATGTATATGCTTCCCACCATCTTCCATTCTAAACATTTGGTCTACAAAATAAAAGTTTATGATTCACTCTTCTGTACTACCCATTTTCTCTTGAATGCTATCCTTCTTGCAATTTACAAATCTGAACCCTCTCTAATATTTCCCATTTCCTCATATGTTTTTTCTGCATGTGCCTGAACCTGATAAAATTAGATCATTTACATTTTTTAAGAAAAGTAAATCTCATTAGTATCATTCTAACAAACTTAATATATTTAGCAAAGTTCCCAAAACTTTGAGTGTAATGTCGTCAGCATATTGATTGAAGCTTATACATTATTTAAATATTAAATAAACAGGTTTCAATATCCTGGAAAATGTGGGTCAGGCTGAAGAACATGATCAAATACGTAATTGATACTAATGCTGATGATGGATATAGAAAGCATTAAACAAATATATAGGTCTTAAGCCAGGAAAGTCTCTCATTAATAAAATGGGATGGTTCAATTAAATTAAATCTGAATTCCCTTCAAATGCTAGTTTTTTAGGTAATGTAATAATGTAGAGATATCCTTGGTGTGGAATCATTTTATCTGATTACAATGTTTTGGCTCAGCAATTTATTAAATGTATGACCCTGGGAAAGTTACTTAGCTTTCAGAGGCTGTTTTCATCTATCAAATAGACTAATGTGTTGACCCCTTCCATTTGACAGCGGTGAGATGAGGATCACGTGAATGGATGATAGTAATAATAAGGAACTCATTTAAGTGTGTTTAAACCAAAACTAACTCTGAAAATATTTAGACGTTAAGAGGTAGTTCTATTGAATGGACACATTGCCACTAGATCCTATGTCAATGTCTGTACGGTAAAGCCTGGGTGATGGAGCTGCATAAATATGAGTGATTAATAGGGAGAAGAAATTGTGGAACTGCAGTAAAGGCTCCATGTAAAATTCCCAATGCAGTCAGTTGTTTGTGTATCAAGCTTTTCTCAGTTTCACACGTTTTTGTTTGTCAAAGTCCTATCTTGAGAATAACAGAACCATAAGCAACAGAGGACAATTTCAAAATATATTGAGTAAGGAAATTAGGAGATCTGGGCTAATCTTCTGCAAAATCATAAAGTCTGTTAAGATTTTTTCTGGAGTTCTTAGCCTACTCTTTCCGCATCTTCCTCTCTTTCATCTGTACTTTGTAAGGAAAATAAACATATCAGTTATTTGTAGGCTCCTTGGTTTAGCACTAGATGCCAACTCACCGAAGGCCATTGACCATTTCATTTAATTATTATAATAGAATGAAAGTTTTTGTCCACCACTAAAGTAGTTCTAAGCATCAAGAGCAGATGGAGACCTATTGGGGGAGAGGGTAGAAAATGCCGCACTGTTGAATTTAGATCTTAGCCTCTGGCTGTTCCTACTGACACTCTGACCTCTATTCCATTGTATTCCAAGGCAGCAGGTGAAGCAGTAGAATAGTTGCAATATTTTTTCTATTGTCTTCTCCTTCTTGTTTCTTGTATGAATACCACCCTCCCTCCCCGACCCCCCCACCCCCCACAATCAGGAAATTTGAGTCTCCAGGGATTTTATGTAACTCTCACAAAATAGTCATTGTCCTAATAAACATCAACCTACCATTCTTGTTGTTGTTCATAAATATTTGTTCTCACATAGGGAAACTTAGATTTTGAAACCTCCTCTAAGTCTTTATGATGCAACGGAGAAAGTGTTTTGGAGATTTGAGACCACTACAACCCTACTGAATATTTCCAAAGGGAGTTATTAGAATGCCAACTAAATTAGGTAAGGGTAAATACCAGAGCTCTGTAAGGAATAAATATTTTAAAATGTGTCACATAATGCCACACTGGGTTAATTCTGAATTCTAACACCAAAATCCTGTCAGTGAATGAGATAATAGAATCCTATTTGGAAGCATATTTATTAGGTCAAAACTAAATAGAATGTTAAGAAAAGTTAATTTATATCTTATAACAAATTTCACAAAGAGAAAAAACTGTAAATAAATGATGAGAGATTATTGGTATATATACATCAAGAAAGCTAGCAGGGCCAGGATGAGGGTGAGGCAACTGAAGTACTCGCCTCAGGCACAAAACTTACCAGATGACTAAATACTTTACTCATCAAGATAAATAATATTTTAAAAATCAAAATTAATGTGAAAATTATGAACAAAATATCAATTTTTTTTAGTAAAAACATCAACATTCCTTTGCTTCAGCTTCCAATATGGCTCATCATGACATTAGGACTGATGCTATCTTTATTTAAAGTGTAACATTTATTTTGTTCATCATGGAGTTTTTTAATTAATTTTGATTTTTAAAATATTGATTAAAATATTTTTTCTCTCTATTACTAAGTTTTTTTGTCACTTTCTTAAATTTTGCACTCAAAGCAAGTCCCTTACTCACCTCTCTAGCTTCACCATCCTTCTGGCCCTGAAACCAAGTAATGTGGCCAAGTCAGTAATGAGTATGTAAGAGTCAACATATTGCTGGTGATGAAGACATGAAGCAGAGAGAATATACAAAATGCTTGTGAAGATTTTCAAGGCATAATTCTTCTTAGAGAAAAGAACTGTTTGGTGTAGGACAGATCATTTCCTCAAGGGAAAGTGACTTCCCAAATAGGATGTGAAAAGATTTATCAGGATCTCAGAACTTGTTGTTTATTCATTTTTACACTGCTCAGCTAAAACAAAGAGGAAGAATTTTTTGCTTTTCCATTGAAGATTACTAAAACGAAGAATTAATTAAAGAGCAATTAAATGAAACAATTTTGTTTTTTTATTTCTGGTTGTTTTTGTTATTTTGCTTCAAAGGTGAATCTGAATTTATGAGTTGCTTTACACTTAAATAATGAACATCCATTTTTGTAAACTAAATACAATTCATAATCAGATATGAATTTGTTCTAATCTATTTTCATCTCAGAAAAAGACACAGGGTGAGAAGTACAAAAAGAGAAGAATAAAGAAAGGCGAGAAGAAAAGAGGTACAGAGAGAATTAGAATGATCAAAATATAGAACAAGAAAACAGGGAAAAGAAAGACTAGTGGAGGCATAAATGGAAAGAAAATTATATAATTAGATAGATAGATAGATAGATAGATATATGTATGCATATTTCTTTTTTTAAAGGGAAGAGCCTGGGAGAC